TAAACACATTTCATTACACCAAATACACAAAATACTGTTCTTTTTAGCAGCATCATATGGCCCCTTTAAGTCATACCTGATGATATTACATTGCCTGATGAACTTAATGCGTTCTACAGTCGCTTTGAAAATACAATGGAGGGACAGGTTGGTCAGCCGACGCTGCCCTCCTGGTCCTGTATTATAAGCCCTCCTTTTAAAATAGAGGAATATGAAGTCAGGAATCTGCTGCGGAAGCAGAACAGCAGAAAGGCAGCAGGCCCTGACTCCATATCATCTGCAACATTGAAGTGGTGTGCGTTCATCCTTGCCCCAGTATTCACCGATATATTCAACTGGTCGTTAAGAGTATGCAGAGTCCCAGTATGTTTTAAAGCAGCTGTTATAATTCCAGTGCCAAAAAAGTCGAATATTAGTTGCTTAGATGATTACAGACCAGTGGCCCTAACTTCAGTTGCTATGAAAATCTTTGAGCGATTGGTGCTTAGGTATCTAATTTCTAAAATCTGTCTGGATTCTCACCAATTCGCCTATAAGACTAATAGGTCGGTTGATGATGCTGTGGCTCTGTGTATCCATTCAATTTTGCAACACCTTGAAGCCCCTAATACTTATGTCAGAGTCACTTTTGTGGACTATAAATTGGCATTGAATACAATTATTCCAGTTAAACTTTTTGATAAGTTAGAGCAATTGGGGATTCAACACTCCCTTGCTTTTTGGATTTTTTGCAGAGTATGCAGAGTCCCAGCATGTTTTAAAGCAGCTGTTATAATTCCAGTGCCAATAAAGTAGAATATTAGTTGCTTAGATGATTACAGACCAGTGGCCGTAACTTCAGTTGCTATGAAAATCTTTGAGCGATTGGTGCTTAGGTATCTAATTTCTAAAATCTGTCTGGATTCTCACCAATTCGCCTATAAGGCTAATAGGTTGGTTGATGATGCTGTGGCTCTGTGTATCCATTCAATTTTGCAACACCTTGAAGCCCCTAATACTTATGTCAGAGTCCTTTTTGTGGACTATAAATCGGCATTTAATACAATTATTCCAGTCCAAGCAAAATTCCAAACAACTAGGGTGTTTGGCAATAAATAAATAAATAAATAATGTTGTGTTTGTGGTCAACAGCCACGGATCAGTAGCGGACTCCTGTGTGAAAGCTGCTTCCCCTCTCACAAGAGTCACCTAAGAGGGGAATTCCCCCCATCTTCAAAAATGAAATTCAGGCTAGGGCTGTGCGATTAATCGAAATCTACATACACGCGATTTGAGCGTGCGCGATTTCTAAATCGCTTTATAGCACGATTTTCCGCGCCCCCGACCTCCCGCAGTGTTGTGTTTCACATTGTAAATCACTGCAAATTTGCAGATGATACTACATTGATTGGTTTAATAACAAATAATAACGAATCGGACTATAGAAGGGAGGTTTCTACACTGTTCGAATGGAGTTGTACTCATAATTTGAAGGTGAATGTCCTAAAAACAAAGGAAATGGTGTTTGATTTCAGACGGAAGACAAATGCTGTTTTGCCATTGACTATTAACAGTGCGCTCCAGGAGAGGTGCGTCTGCAGCAGTCATGCTGCGATCGTTTCCGCACGGAGTCTATTTCTGCTGTGCTGCACGCGCTGAAAGTGACAGCGCATTATTCGCAGTAAAAAATAACATGGATTGGCACGGAAATGTCTGCTTCTGCACCGCATACACATACTGTATACGCCCTGCAGACGGAGTACGTGTGAACTTGGCGCAACAAATCTAGTTCAACAATTGAGGCAACGCCACAAAGAGCTCTATGACCAATGCATGGCAAAAAAAATCCCTGGACACAGGATTTTTTTTATTTTTTTCTGCCATATGTCTATTCTAGAGACATTTTGTTACACTTTTACTTAGTGATTATTTTGCCTTATGTCTGTTCTAGAGACATGTTACAGCTTTTTGATAAAGCTCTAATTGGTTTTCTTTTGGAAATATGTTTCCAATTCACACTGAATGCATTTATGACTGTAAAGCATGTCTGTGTGTGTCAAAATCGTGATTAAAATCGGCTTCAAAAATCCTGATCGGAGCACCCATAGTCCTAACCAACAATGCTGATGTTGTATATTCCTAATTAAATGCAACAGAACAAATGTGTGAACATGTGATACTATCTAGCATAAGGCTAAACAAATATGTTTGACAGAAATGGTATACACCTCAGCCTGTAAATGAATGATGCAATTCATAAGGAATACTTCATCTCAACAGTCAAAGATGAACTAATGAGCAAACCCTGATATTTCGAACACACACCAGACCCTAAAATGCATGACAAATCAACCATAAAGCTAATACCAAACCTCAACAACCCTAACTGCATCCAATTCAACAAGTCAAAAGACAAATCAAACATGCCCGACATGACCCTCAGTTTCAACAAAACAGACACAAACAACATGATATCTGTGTCAAACTATCCCAGGTTAGTATGCGCATCAGTCTATAAAATCCACTGGTTCTCACACATAAGCGTATGTGGCTAGGGAGTGGTGAGAGCTGGGAGTTTTGTTTTCAGAGCGTCCTAGGACACAATGGACCAGTCTGGCATAGCACTCTTTGTCAGACTGGTTATGCGATAGCTATATCAACAAGCGTGCTCAAACAACTAACATTTTGCTGAGTTGTAACGTACACAGCATACTAATGACTAGGGGTGCTCCGATCAGGATTTTTGAGGCCGATCACCGATCACAGAAAGCAGTATCTGCCGATACGATTACTGATACCGATCTTTTTAAAGCAGGGGTGGGCAAACTTGGCCCTTCCAGGCCACTTTCCTGCAGAGTTTAGCTCCAACCCTAATCAAACACACCTGAACCAGCTAATCATTGTCTTCAAGACTACTAGAAGGCTACAGGCAGGTGAGTTTTATCAGGGTTGGATCAAATCTCTGCAG